AAAACAAAAACAAAATATCAGACAAGACACCAAATACATGATTAAGAAAGAAAAAGATTATCTTCAATCACAAAATGTTATTCAACTTGTTTAGTATGAGAAATTCAGTAACCATTTCGTATCTTCCATACTCGGATCAAACTAAGAATGCGATGAATTAAAAGAAGATATAGAAGATATACCCTGTTACGGCGTTAGGTATCAAAAGATACCGTCTGTCGGACTTCTCGGCATGTACTAAACAAACAACAAACAGGACCTGCTCATACACAAACATTCAACAATTCAGGAAATAAAAAACTATTGTGTTCTGCAACTAAAAGCAACGATAATAATAACTGGAAGATCCGAGAACTCTACTGAGAGAGCCTCTGTAACAAAAGAGGAAAAAGAAAATACGATTTGCAAAATACTTCCAACTTTCCTTTTTTTTTTTTTGGTCTAATTTTCACTTTAATTTTCGTTCTCTGAAACAAAAACCGGAAATTCTTTTCGGCAGAAAGTAACAAAGAGAAAGGAAATTACGACGGAAAACAATGAAAGAAAATTAAGTGGAGAAAAGTATGAGAAATAAATCAGGAAGAACTAAATTCGATCAAACAAACAAAAACATTCAGAGAAATGAGAACAGTGCTCATATCATCGAAGTTCATGCCTGGAACAAAGAAACAGGAACGAGAAACCCTAGACGAATCGCCATTATTGTCTGCGTTGAAGCTCCACTCTCAGAGGATGAGAAAGAGGGAGAGAGAGAGAGAGAGAGAGAGAGAGATAGCCGTTGCAGTCTAAGAAAAAGAGAGCGACACAGTTAAGTCTGTATTTATAGTTACTGAACCCAAATCGTTGACGTAAGATAAATTCCCGATCTCCAGGGGATTATTTACTACCGATATTACTGTCCTAAAAAATCGAATATGTATTTACGCATATACCCTTGCTTTCGGCTAGTTTGTCGGCTAATCATTCTATTTTCTTTTTCTTGTGAATATTTTCGTCTTCTGGAGGGTAGTTTCGTAAACTCAACAAATAACATACATTTGTTTGCGTCCGACGTCCGTGATATTTAGGACAAAATCCAATTCTTTTTTTAATTGTGTAAAATAAAAATAAAAAAATTATTTGCTGTAAAATATGAACTGGGAAATTGCAAATGTGATGATATATTCCATATTAGGCTGACAAAAGGGATAATTTGTAATTGGAAGTATCAAAATGCGAGATTTAGATTTTGTATTAGTGAGAGGATTACTTTTTAATTAGTTTATTAACTGAAACAGACATACGTCGTTGTAGGGAGAACGTGATGTGTGTTTTTTTCTCGGTAATGTGATGTTTTTGTCATTTTCACCACTGTCTTTTCTCTTTATGATTAAACTACTAATTATCCCCTTTTTTTTTTTTTTTTCTTTTTGTTGCGCTTAGGACAACTAATCACCTATTAGCGAATTTTTTTCTTGTAAAAAACAGTTATGTGCAGATGATATTATCATGTTGATGACCGAATGTATAAGCAGATCCAACCCTCTTCGTTGAGTAAAATTTTAGTTGAGTAATTGGTACAATAATTCGACCACTTTCCCAACATTTTTCAAATTTGTTATTTAAATCCAAGACAGATAAAGATATAAAGCCGAAACAAATATCTCTTGAGATTTAAATACGTTGATTCGAGTTTTTAATTTAAGTTAATATGTGACTTTATATGAGAGCTTTTTACTATAGTAAAAAAGTTAGATGCGACTGTTTTTTACAACTTTTTACTGTAGTAAAAAAGTTATATGTGACTGTTTTTTAGAACTCTTTACTATACTAAAATTTAAATTTTAAACTCAAATGGGTAAAATGAACGGAGCTTTAATTCCCCCTTAACAAATAAAAACAGTTCTCTTTCCAACATAAAAATAATAATAATAAACAGGTCTCCAGAATTTATGGAAAATTCGGCATCAATTATTGATGAAATAGAAACGTTAATTAATTTGTCTGCTGTACCTTGAGCTGGCGTGAATATTATTGGAATATAGCATTAAAAGTCTAGCATATACAGGAGGACTTTATTAATAAATATTCAAAAACTTATCAGATTAGTAATGAGAATATGGCAATATTACATAGTTCCTAATGAGAATATATGGTTCTTATGGCTTAAAGTTTTCGGTTCTTTTAACTGTGAGAAAGACCTACAATATTCTCACTCATAAAAACCGATAATAATATCGTGCTTTGTTTTGGTAGTTTGGTTGGTACGCGTTTACAAACCTTTGTTGATGATAATCCTCTATCATGTGAATTAGTATTAAAAAAAATTAAGAAAAATTATACATTGCTTAATTCAATGTTGTACACGATCATTTAAGACCTGCCATCATATGTACTAATTAGAGTTATATAGTCTAAAAATCAAATTTTTCATAATTTCCATAAAAAGCCCACGTTGTTTTTTTTTTTTTTTTAAAGATAATGAAGTATTCATAAATTGAAATATGTTACGTTGAAAAATACAGGTCTCATTCATTTCACCGATTCGAGTTTTCAGTTCTAGGTTTCTACAGTAAAAGGTTTTCAGAAAATGTCACATCTAACTTTTTCTTCTATAGTAAAAAGTTCTTACAAAATATCACATCTCAATTTAAATTGAAAACTCGAATCCGTGAAGTGAATGATGCCTAAATTTTTTTGCATATTTCTCAATATCTTCTTGCATATTCATCGATGAAATCTCTGAATTCAAACAATATTAATACATATAATGATACTTATATTAGTGATATAGTGGGAAAATATTATTTTAAAATTCTACAACCACCCCACTAAAGCATTTATTTCTCCACAAGCAGTGATAAGTAAGCAGGTGGACGACACTTTGGTGTGGTGTATTAGTAAACCGGTCAAGTGCGCCTTCATTAGCTTTGACAAGTTGGTCTAATATGCACTTACTCCCAATAACTTGCATTAACCGTGCCAAAACGCAACTATACACAATTAAGACGTGTCGTTTTCACTTGAAATTCCGCATGTCACACACTTGTAGTTTTGCTTTATTACTTGTATTAATTATTATTGCGTCTTGCTCTCGAAGTAGGTGGTAAGCATGGAAAACACTTTTTCTAAAAACGATTTTATGTGATTTTGTAGCCTTGTAGGTAATGAAAATGTATGTTTGTCATAAAAAGAAAAGAAAAAAAAAAAGAATGATTATGAAATTCTCTCACATATTTAACCATGTCATCATGTTTCTCATAAATAAATTAATGAGAATTCCATATATTTAACCATATATTCTCAAAAATCACGAAAGCATCTTTTCAAATTTTCAACCCCTATAAATCTCTTTTTGACTATCTTGATATTACAAAACCAGCCAAAAAAATTATTTTGACATATCATTTTCTTCGCATATATTCCAAACTTTATCCCTAACTTTATTTGGTAGACAATTTTCTAGTCCAATGGTAAAGTGGAGTTCTTAAATGATTGGCAACTCTTAAATTTTTTTTTTAATTCCTAAATTAGAAGATGAAACATGGCACTTCGTTTCAGCTCATGGAAAAAATTTGTAATTTTCCAAAAAAAAAAAACACACACACACACACACATGAAACGGACCACAAAATCAAGAGCCACGTTCGTAGGATTCCTTGTCCATTCCAAACGGTCATGAAAACACGTTATGATTTTAACGATCGAGAGAGAAAAACAAATGATCTTTCATAACACCATATTAGTCCATACCTAGTTTTGTTATATATTATATATCATGGTAATATTATACTATATTTTCATATGATAGTGCACTGACTTTTGTCTCAGTTACGTGCTAGTTTCTGAATGCTGCCTGCTTATTGTGGTGTGCAAATCGTTTATCCATTGGCTATCATTGTAAGGCTATGATATATATATACACACCCATATATATATATATATATATGTATATGTATATGTCTATATATATACACACACACACACCAACCCTTTTTTCCAAAGTGCAATCTCAACTAATATCCTTCAAAAGCATTTGGGGCACTAAAGTGTTAAAACTCGATTGGGAACTTTCTTCAAAATGTATGAAATAACTTTGCGGACGCACCTTTCCCATTTACTAATAAAATATAAGGTCAATGCTTTCATACGAAGGAAAGTTCTATGGTGTTCGGACATGCTATCATTTTTTTCACTTAAACGGTTATGTGGGTAGTCTGTCGTACGTTTATTAACAAATATGGTGTGGACAGCCAAAGTGTAGTGGATGATGCATGTCGCCTATAAAAGCAAAGGAAATTATTGATAGGCGTTTTGAATTCTTATATATGGCCTCCTTTTCACACCAATCCAAGATATATAGAGAAGACAAAGGTTAGATTACTTTCCAATATAGTCAGTTTTTCCCAAAATTTTGTTATTAAAAAAAAAAACATAATAGTTATATAACTCGAAAAAGAAAAAGAAGAAGAAGAAGAGATAGATTCTAGCATATTCATCTTTCAAAAGGCCTCATTTTCTATTAAAAAGGGTCGAAAATTATAATGGTTGTTTTTCTAAGCTTAGAAGAAAATGCTCGTTTTTTTTTTTCCTTCTGAAACTTCGTTGCATAAAGCTTATAATTCTGAAGTTATCAAATTTGAATATTGGATAAAATTACTAAATCTCATATCTATTAATTTTAATCGTAGGATAAAGCCAGTCATGTGTGATTACTGGAGACGTTTAGTTCATGGATTAGAATCATGTGATTGAATAATTTTTTATTTACGTATATTTTTTGTGAGAGAAAATACTATAGTGAACCATAAATCATGATTCAAATCATGGTTTAAATCTCTCAACCAAACATCCTCTAAATTTCATCATGCACGTGGTTTCGCTAGATCTCTCAAGTCTCAACTTTATTAAATCCACTCGTTCACCAATTTATCAAAAAACAAAAATCCAATTTTTTTTTTTTTTCATAGAAAAGGCTATTCTCTTTTTTTTCTTTTTTTTTTCTTTTTTTTTTTTTGAGCGATAGAGTGAACCAGACCTACCTCTACAAAAGACTAAAAATATTGCATTCATTTTCTTTCTGGACAGAGTCTTCTTCTTACTATTACTGTGTTTTGGATCATAAATATTCATTAATGAAGCTAGTTGACTCATCACTCTTATATAATGCTCTGAAGCCACTTGTCTTAATTATGTCATTTTTCAAGAAATAAAAATGTCGGACTTAAACGTGGATATTACGTACTAATGGGTGTGAAATGTGATGTATAATGGATATTTCTTTTTCCGAGTATTTAATTGAGTTATAAGATAATAGGAGGTGCTCAATAATCTTCATTTCACCCATTTAAATTTTTAATTTTAATTTTATTACAGTTAAAAATTTTCACAAAAAATTAAATTAATTTTTTGTGTTACAGTTAAAAATTCTCACATAAAGTCACATATAAACTCGAATTAAAAACTAAAATCGACGAATTGAACGATACCTAAATAACTTAAGCTTCGTTTTGTTAATTCAAATCACAAATCAAGTTTTTACTACAATATTTTTTTTATAAAAATTTAAATTTAATTTTTTTTACTACAGTAGTTTTTTCACATGAATTTATTTCTTAACGAAAGTTCTTAATTCGAGCGAATAAAATCAACGAGACCTTATAAATTTTAATTCTAAAAAAATAAAACATTGATACTCTGAAATACTTTACACATGAAATGCGGTGAATGACAAATCGTTTTCTGTCATTGAATTTTGAGTTCCACACTCTTTATAATATCAAAATAAATTAC